CCATTATCTTCCTAGTGCAACACACCTCAATGCATTCAGAAGAGTACACAGAAGTGTTGAGGACATCTACACATATTCCTTCAGAATTACAAGCATCACTGGAAGATGTGAGGGCAGATTTGGGGGATGAGGGACATACAAGGCTAGTATCAACAACAACCAACATTGGTAAGATTACTGGAAATGTAACATAATAAAGGGAATATGCGAGGATTTTGGTAGAAGATTATCACTAGGGATAAATTTTCAATTAACAAACATAATTGAAAAGGGTAAGTAAGATCTCGTTCTTTGGAGTTGTAGACAGTTTTTACTTTCTTTCGGACTTTCGAAACCCAGTTGTCTTCAAAGGTCCTGTTAGTCATGGTTGGTATGAGACGTTGAACCTGAATTATTACAAGAGCTGAGGATGCTTTGGAATGAAGAGAAACACACCACTGAAATATCAGCACAAGAAACTGCCAGTAAAATGCTAGAAGACATTCCATCAATCAAAGAACTGCAAATGCTTTTGGAGGAAAATTATTCATTGCCAGGTGAATTTAGAATGAAGAGAAACACACCACTGAAATACCAGCACAAGAAACTGCCAGTAAAATGCTAGAAGACATTCCATCAATCAAAGAACTGCAAATGCTTTTGGAGGAAAATTATTCATTGCCAGGTGAATTTCATAATGAATTCAACAATGCAGAAAGAACTCATCTCATTATCTTCCTAGTGCAACACACCTCAATGCATTCAGAAGAGTCCACAGAAGTGTTGAGGACATTGACACATATTCCTTCAGAATTACAAGCATCACTGGAAGATGTGAGGACAGATTTGGGGGAGGAGGGACACACAAGGCTACAATCAACAACAACCAACATTGGTAAGATTGCTGGAAATGTTAAATAATAGAGGGAATACAGGAGAATGTTGATAGAAGATTATTACTAGAGATACACTTTCAATTAATGTACACTTTTCCCATTCATTCTAGAGCAAGAAACCTCAACATCTGTTGAGAATGAAAGAAAGCCTGAAAGCTTTAGATCAACAGAAGTGTCCCAGACAATCAGTACCAACCATAATCTGCAACTACCCGAATTATTACAAAAGCTAAGGATGCTCTGGAATGAAGAGAAACACACCACTGAAATATCAGCAGAAGAAACTGCCAGTAAAATGCTAGAAGACATTCCATCAATCAAAGAACTGCAAATGCTTTTGGAGGAACATTATTCATTGCCAGGTGAATTTCATAGTGAATTCAACAATGCGGAAAGAACTCAGCTCATTATCTTCCTAGTGCAACACACCTCAATGCATTCAGAAGGGTCCACAGAAGTGTTGACGACATCTACACATATTCCTTCAGAATTACAAGCATCACTGGAAAATGTGAGGGCAGATTTGGGGGAGGAGGGACATACAAGGCTAGAATCAACAACAACCAACATTGGTAAAATTACTGCAAATGTTATATAATGAAGGGAACACAGGAGGATATTGGTACAAGATTATTACTAGAGATACATTTTGAATTAATATTCACTTTTCTCATTCATTCTAGAGCAAGAAACCTCAAAATCTGTTGAGAATGAAAGAAAGCCTGAAAGCTTTAGATCAACAGAAGTGTCCCAGACAATCAGTACCAACCATAATCTGCAACTGCCTGAATTATTACAAGAGCTAGGGATACTCTGGAATGAAGAGAAACGCACCACTGAAATATCAGCACAAGAAACTGCCAGTAAAATGCTAGAAGACATTCCATCAATCAAAGAACTGAAAATGCTTTTGGAGGAAAATTATTCATTGCCAGGTGAATTTCATAATGAATTCAACAATGCGGAATGAACTCAGCTCATTATCTTCCTAGTGCAACACACCTCAATGCATTCAGAAGAGTCCACAGAAGTGTTGAGGACATCTACACATATTCCTTCAGAATTACAAGCATCACTGGAAAATGTGAGGGCAGATTTGGGGGAGGAGGGACATACAAGGCTAGAATCAACAACAACCAACATTGGTAAGATTACTGGAAATGTTAGATAATAAAGGGAATACGGGAGGATATTGGTAGAAGATTATCACTAGAGATAAATTTTCAATGAACACTGTATTAACTTTTCCCATTCATTCCAGAGCAAGAAACCTCAACATCTGTTGAGAATGAAAGAAAGCCTGAAAGCTTTGGGTCAACAGAAGTTTCCAGGTCAATCAGTACCAACCATACTCCGCAACTACCTGAATTATTACAAGAGCTGAGGATGCTCTGGAATGAAGAGAGACACACCACTGAAATATCAGCACAAGAAACTGCCAGTAAAATGCTAGAAGACATTCCATCAATCAAAGAACTGCAAATGCTTTTGGAGGAAAATTATTCATTGCCAGGTGAATTTAATAATGAATTTAACAATGCAGAATGAACTCAGCTCATTATCTTCCTAGTGCAACACACCTCAATGCATTCAGAAGAGTCCACAGAAGTGTTGAGGACATCTACACATATTCCTTCAGATTTACAAGCATCACTGGAAGATGTGAGTGCAGATTTGGGGGAGGAGGGGCATACAAGGCTAGAATCAACAACAACCAACATTGGTAAGATTATTGGAAATGTTACATAATAAAAGGAATACGGCAATGAAAATTATTCATTGCCAGGTGAATTTTCTCATGACATGTCACATAGATGAAAAACTTATTTTGTAATGTTTCAGTGCAAGAAACGTCGATTCCTGCAAATGATGATGGGATTTCTGAGGTTCCTGCAGCAACACAAAAGTTCAGCACAAGTAAGAGCTCTACATTTAATTTTCTTTTACAGGTTTTGCAGGTTTCCCTTTCAGTAGATCCAATAATTTCGAAGAACCCACCAAAAAATAGCACTCAGGTGTTCCATAGAATATTAACTTTGATTGTGGTTAACAATGTTCAGACGCCAGAAAAAGTTTTCAAATGATTTCTGCTTTAACAAAGTAACCTTTCAGCAAAACCGCAAAGGTATACAGGAAGAAGTTGACTTGACCAATGAATGCAAAGGTGCCTATAACTTTTCCCCTTCTATCAGGAACTCCACCACCATCAATTCTTATGACACGATCCGGAGCTATTCTAAACGGACCATTTCAGAGAGCGCATTAATATGGATTAATTGTGTATACCGGTGTTCTATTCTCATCAAACGGTGGGATTTTGAAAAAAATGGTAGAATACTATATAAATACTGCAGTGCAGTTCGTGTCACGACGAGAAAGTTCAAATAAGGAGACGTCAGGGTATTCCATAGAAAAGGAAGGGGTCACTCCGTTCAATCGTTTCGTTGCAGCTCCAGTTACCCAGGTGCCATCCGAAGCATACACTATCCCCCAGGAGCCAATCCTGAATTTTTCATCCTCAGAGGCAAACGACTTGACATCGGAGACGCCAACCGAGCAGAGGAACAGAACCTCCAGTCAAGAAACTGATGCCATCACAGTGTTAACTGAGAGAGCAACCTTGGCATTCCATTCCGGAGGGAGCACTGCCTGGGGAATCGAGACCGCGGCAAACGTGGCTCCCCGGGTCAATTTTCTTGATCAGACTGAGGAGGTGAAGATGAACCAACAAGAGCCCACCACACTTTCGGCAATCGAAAACATGGAAAAAATCCATGATACCCTGGATGAAATCTTGGAACTTTTGGGAGATTATGATTATTAGAATCATGTTTATGCACGGAGTTTCATTTGATTGAACGGATTATGAACGCGAGCGGATGATTCTCGTCACGAATAAAGTAACATCGACGATAGTTCACAGTTCCCGCACAACGTGAAATCATGAAAACGTGATCATTCCGGATACCTTATCACGAAGAATGTGACCAGGGGAAAAAAATCCGGTTTTCATTTCAACAGCGCCAAGCTTTCAGGCTTGAGAGAGCACAGATAAAAGCTTCGCACTTCCCAATGCAAACCTCAGTGATTCACTCACCGCTATTCTAGAGGAGAATCGAGCGACCCTCATAATTTTTTTTTAACATCAAAATTACCCTCCTCATCTTGGCAGAAAAAAAATGATGTCCAGAAAACCAAAACCAATTAATTCCGGTTTTTTAAGCCCCAGCCACTCGTCCTAAAAGTTTCGAGAAGTCAAACGGAATTTTGTTACACTCCAGCCGTCGTAGGCATATGGCTATCCAAACGAGCTGAGGATTATTTCCTTTCATTCACATTGTCCCACCTTCCATCGAAAATACTGTTCAAGAGGATTCTCTCTACAAAGCAATACAGGCGACCCGAAAAATCCGTCGTAGAGAACAATCCAAGGTACAGTTATCTAAGAAATAACGCTCATTGACGTATGAAGTTATCCTCAAAAACGCAACATGATTACCCTGATAAACGTGAAAATTGATACGGCAGCTACGCGATTACCAGGTAAAAATTATTCTGTCGACGAAAAGAAAGACACAAACTACATTTGTCTAAGAACTTACGCAGAAAAACACCTACAGTGAGTCGTCTTCTGTCGTCGCTAGCTGTCAAGAACTACGTTTCAATCTCCAGAACGTGACGTGATTATGATCGAAAGGAGAGAGACATGTTGCAATTCTTGTCAACAGAGGCCCACAAAAAACTAACGTCAGAACATTCTAATACTAGCATAATCTCGTAGTTTGCTCACGTACATAACTCGGCGTCGTCGATGAGAAATATTTCAGTACACCTGCCACTGTCATCATAGCACGATTAATCCATGAAACGCGGAATTCCCCACCTTCTATTCAAAAAATAACCATCTCGTGTTAGGAAATCAGCAATTCTTGACCTAATATTGTACTGTATAAACCTATTTAAACGAGAAAAACTCTATGTTGCACACCACGAAACTCGAGTTCGCATGGTATTTTTCAAATTCTACCACAGTATGCTAATATAATTAATTAAAATAGGCCGCGCATTCATACACACTCTAGTCTAGAAATAATGCAGGTCGCGCCCACGCCGGACAACCCTCATAATGTATAGGGAAACCGCAGACGTTCATCTAGTCTTCATTAGTAAAAGCATCGTATGAAACAAGGCTCCGACCATAACCGAATCAGACTAGGAACTCAGAAATGGCCGCGATGGACAAGCGATTATTCAAACGAGTGACGCGTGAAAAAATCAAGGATTAAAAATCGACGAAGGTGCGTGACCCACCGTCATCGCGACTCGTAAATGATGCTCACCCGCCTGCGTGCCCGTGGAGCAGTCCGGATTCCCCTTTTTGTTTCCCACGAATGCCGGTCGGTCAGTCAAAGGTGACACGTGTCCACCCGCGCGGGGGATCGATGTCCAGGTCGCTAATTGCCGAAGGAGTTCGTTTTCGCGCGAGTAATTAGTCAGTCGGCGCCTTCGGAAACCCGAGCCGCGACGTGGAACGATTACGCATCGCCTGATTGCTTCCTCAGATGCCATTCCGGAACCTTCCACTCGGTCGCAAGCGCGGAAGGGACGAATGGGGGGAAAACGGCTCAATGAAAGATTATCTCACCCGGGAAGCAGGGAACAATGCGGGATCCCGGAGAGATAGCGTATTGATGGATGAGCCAGTCGTGGAACTACGGAAGTCAACACTCTTTCCCAACGGGCCCTTCGACAAGTTCAGAACTTCCGAGATCAGATAATGAGTAGTCCGTATGCGACTGACTAAAAGTTGAGCACGGGTTTCCAACAACAACAGCAGTTCATTAAAATTAACGCAGGATAATGAACTTCAACAGTGAAGCCCCGATATGCGGACGTATTTGGTGCGTAAACCTTGTTTGTACGTTGGAGCGTCCGAATGTCGGATCACGTTTTCGGATAGACTTCAATGGGGCATTGCACCACTGGTTTTCCGGTTCATGAAGTTCGAAAAAAAGTTTCCTAAAAATTGGATAAAAATGTTTCCTGAACTTGAAGAGACAGAAAATAACTGCAATAGAAAACCTCACAAAATCTGATCTTCTGGTATCAGAAGAAGCGCAATAAGCGAAGAATAAGAACAAGTCCTGCTATACTGTGCACAGATGCTGGAAACACGATAAACCAAAAAGCTGAATTTGAGTTTGAGTAAATTTTTAAATTTATTTTTTCAACGTACTCACTTTGTTCCAGTATCTCACTTTGTTCGTGTTATCCAAATTTTTAAAATCTTTTTTTTAACACGTAAGACTTGTCCGTAATTGAGACACTGTCTGAATGTCGGGTAATTTTTTTGAGTTTTACGTACAATATCCCCAAGTCGAATCTTCCGTGTCAGGGTATCCGTATGTCGAGGTCGCACTGTTTACCGAAGCTATCACCGACATTAATACTGTACTTTATTTCCAAATCGCCGCCGCAGCGAAAGTGACCACCTTTCCTCAATCAAAGACTTCAAGACCCTAACCCACGTAAATCACAATTATCCTGAAATAATTAATTCCCAATTCACGCTGTACATTCACTCGTATACATCACACATCCGCCTGAAACGTGACACCATTACTTTTCATGAAAAAAACAATCCGGGACACAAAAAATTGGCATGAAGCATCACGCCGGCTTTTCCTTTTCTTCCCGAATTTTGTGAAGGATGTTTAAGTTGTGAACTATGGAACCTCGGTATAATCTCGCTTAACGTATAAATTGAACTAATACGTGGGTCATACATAACTTCACTGTCAGCCCAAGTAAACCTGCGATACTAAATTCAACCCAGTACAGTACATGTGAACTGGACTAACCAAACGAATATCAACTAATTGAGCTGAAACGCTCAAACTAACCTACAGTGTACACGGATGCAAAAGAAATTATATTGACAGCTTCAAGAAAAGAAGAATACAGTACAAAAATGCCATCGATTTGGGGAGCAGAGAAAAAATTAATCAAAGTCGGGAAATTTTCACTGTTGCAAAAAACGTTGTCATGGTAATTCTGTATTACCTACTCATTATTGCGATTCCAGAAAACAGGGGGAAAAATATCTTCCAGTGCGAACGGTGCAAGTGCGTCAAGCGGATGACTGAAAAAACATGCATTACGTTAGCGAAGTATCAATTATAATACCCGGCAATCGTTTTCTTAATTCTTTAGGAAAATATAGTCCGTCCAAACAATACTGCACATGTGTATCATATATGGAAACTTCTCCAAAGTAAGACTTGACAACGTGCGGCCTCGGACGAATAATAGATGTACTTGCACAGCTGGAATGGACATACTTCATACCTCGCCTCGTATCGGTACTTGGAACTCGGAAGTAGCTTCAAATTTCGACGGAAACAAGAAAACAAAATTTTAAACTCAGATGCGATGGAAGTTGGAGACTTGTGGAGAAACCCACGTACACAACATGCTCTTAGGGAAGTTACGTCTGTTCCTCTTTAATCGGTATTTTCCCCGCAAAAAATAAATGCAGAAAGGGCCAAAATCCTAGCGCAAAACGAGACCCATTGCTTCCGTCTGAACGGGTATCGGTGTGGCAGGACAAGCGGAAAATATTTTCTGCAGGGTGTCGAAAACAATGCTTACCGGAATACGATACCAGGCCAATAGAAACATGAACTTTTCACGAACTATTTTACAGGGCCAAATAATATGGAAAAAATCGTAACAGTGCCACACATGTACCGTTACATTATCGACGAATAATCCATTCCCACGTAAATTCAAAATCGCGCACGCTCAAACCCTCTTCCTGACTTTTCACCAATCAAAAATGCTGATCAAAAACAACCAGGAAGGCAATTACTGTATCTAAGTTTTCATTCGATGCAAAACTTTTTCAGGATAAATACGGTACAGTATCTCCTGGAATTCCCGAAAAAAAAAAAAACCAGCAGAAATATGGTCGCGTGTGATGCTACATTGGATTAGGGCAGTTTTCAAAACTTTAAAAAAACTCGGATTCTCAGCGACAGTATTTCCACTTATGAAATATCCATCTACGGGCATACAAATTTCAAAATAAAATGTTGAAACGATAATGCGGATGATCTGAATGATGGGTCGACACCCCTTTGAACCTTCCTCTAAAAGAAAACGCCACATGCTTTTCTATAAACGCGACATTGACTGCGACGATACACGTGAAATTCAAGAAATTCATGCTTATTTCATTGCTTACGCCACGAGTAAAGCGACGGGAAATTCGAACAACAAAATGGAATCTATTTGAAGGATGAACACCTCATGAATCACGGGATCGAACAGTTGAGCGCGTCATCCCTAGACACTAATCTCGCAATGAGAGCAAAAAACAGCGTTTGAGGAAATAAGCTTGCAATACATTGAAGAAGAAAAAAACAGCAGCACTTTCCCTGGAGTTCATCAGCGTCAGATGATGATATAGAATGTAGATCAGTAAGATTGGGTAGAACGAATAAAAGCTTTCCTGAACGAAGTACACGGATTGCTTCGGGGAGTATGTCCCGGGTTACCTTTTGAAGCTTTGGATGGACAGAAGTAGCTTTTAATATCATTTTAGAATTAATCTTATGTGCGCAGATACAAGCTAACTCACCCATCCTTAAAAATTGTGCACTAAATGAAATCAAAGAGTATATTACATTTTCAACGAAACAAGTCAGTTCGGGGGAAAAATTACAATACTGTACATCAGTTCACACTATTTCTCAGCAACAAGTACATGTGTAAGTACCATAAAAAAGAAGAACATCAATACCAAATAATGTTAGCTGAAAA